GACAAACACATCAAACTTTTAGATTGTCCTGGTATCGTCATGGCCACTTCAACCAGTGATGCTGCCATGATCCTACGCAACTGTGTGAAGATCGAACAGCTAGTAGACCCATTGCCAGCTGTTGAAGCCATATTGAGGCGCTGCAATAAAATGCAGGTAGCGACTTGTAAAGTTTTATTAATTGAGTCTTAAACAGTATTGCACAATGTTCAACTCAGTTTTCATATGTAGATTATAGATCATTATGGAATCCCAGACTTCCAGACGGCACACGAGTTCCTGGCCTTACTTGCCCGACGTCAAGGCAAGCTGAGGAAAGGAGGACTTCCAGACTCTGACAAAGCTGCCAAGAGCGTTCTCATGGATTGGACAGGGTGAGGTTATAGTCCTAACACCAGTTACCCATCAGCACTCTACACTGTGAATAATGGCTGTAATATCAAAAGTAAAAAATCTGTAACCCTTCTAATAGTTTCCTTAATATATAGAGTAAATAACTTTAAATTGAATATTCCAAAATTCCCTATATGACATTATTATGGTAGTTTTTTAATTTTCCTCCTCGGATGTCTACATTGCTACATCTAATTTTATAATTTACATTTTATTAGACAGTGTTAAACTTTTAAATTGTTAATTGCATTATTTAAATTTCATGTGTGTTTAACTTACCTTGAGGGTGTTTAATAAATGTTTGAGTAACACTGAACACCCTCTACAATATAAGTATGTTTCTCTGCTTGTAGAAAATCAGTTTGTAATGAGTTCTATAACGGCACATGTCCACTGAAGCGCTGCAGATATGCTAGCCATGTTCTAAACGCAATCAGCTGAGTGCTTCTCCAACTTTCAAAGCATTTCAAAAGCACAGAGCCATAAAACACTGCCTGGCTACGCAGTTGGCGTTTTAAAAATGTGGCACCCTGGATGTACTTTATACCACTTAATACATTGCTACAAAACATAAAAACTGGACAACTTTGCCCTGAACTTTAATTCTTTAATCCCAAAGCTAACAGAAATTAAAACAGCTAAATAAAGCATACACCAACCTGTGCAATATTTAGTCACAAGGTTGCGTCAAATGCAAAGCTGACAGAAATTAAACTGGCTGAATGGAGCATATACTAACCTATGTATTATATATCCACAAGATGGTACCAAACAGTCAAAAATAGACAGGCAAGCAGATAAATATGGATGGGAATGAATGTATGACGGTCTAGGTGATTTGAAGTTGTCTGTATTTAAGGTGGACATTTTTCCCTGTCTTTTCTAGGGGTCGCATTAGTTACTTCACACATCCTCCTGAAACGCACACATTACCCACTCATGTCAGCGCTGAGATTGTAGCAGAGATGGGCAAAGCGTTTGACTGGGATGAACTGGAGAAGGGCAATCTAGAGGCTTTGGCTGGTAACTGATCTCTGTACTATCACTAAAATAAAAAATAGCTAAATTATACTTTTCTGATAATATATGTACAATTTAGAGTGCGGCACGTCTGATGTACAGATGGGATTCTGCATGGCTACCTCTGGATTGACACAAGGAGGTCAAGGGGAAGATCTGGCAGAATTGCAGATGGATGAACCATTAGATGACCCTGAACTTCAAGACAAGGTTGAATTAATGGATGCAGATGAGGATCCAGAGGTAGAGCAATTAAACAGTTCTATTCTTAATCTAAAATCACTTTTATTGACCTACATTTAAAGGGATAGTTCATCCAAAAATAAATAGTTATTACTATTTGCTCCCCCTCAAGAAGTTATGAACCTTTCAGTCTTCTGTTGAACACACGAATGAAGGTTGACATTTATAGTAAGAAGAAAAATGAGTATGAAGTCAATGGCTATTGGTTTTCAACCAAAGAAAGAGACTTGAACAGTTTAGTAACAAGTTCAGGATGAGTAAATGATGGCAGAATTTTCATTTTTGGGAGAAATATTGTTTGAATAAATTCTTGTGCTGTGCAGTAGGATAGTGATTTTGTTTAAAAAGCGCATCAATTCATCATAAAACTAGCCCATATGTTGGCTGGGGTTTAATGCATATATCAGGTTGTCTTTTTGTAAATATTTATTAATTGTAAATGATAGCTGCAACTGCATGTTGTTGACAACTTTTTGGCTGATCTCGAAGTGTGACGCATGTCATAAGATGCATTCATAGTGAAGGCTGTGGTGAGAGTAGATGAATGAGGATAACATTATACAGTAATGCCAAGCCTACAGTTTTTCTTGTTCATAGTCATCTTCTGTGGTAAACATTGTGTGGTAAGTAGTTGTCTTGTAGCTTCCGCTACAAATGCGTCTTATGTTATACTTTAAGTTGAATTTGGTTTTAGGAAGAAATTTTCATTTTTATATTTGAGTTTATAATTTTAATACCACAATTTAAATTTGTTTACTACAGCGCATTGATCCACTTCATAAGACATGCGTTACCCCTGCATATAATATAACCTATATGTCAGCATATAGGTTATATTTTATGATGAGTTGGTGCACTTTTGGAAACTTAAAAACAAACAGCATTATACAGCATTAATGAGCCAGGATAAAATGCCAAACTACTCAGAAGAAAGTCATTTTTACCTAGGATAGTTTGAGATTAAATTATGGGGTAATTTTTATTATTGGGTGAACTTTTCTGTTAAGATTCTAATCTTTTCTATAAAGTTTGGACCGATGACCGTTGAGCTCAAAGTTCCCAAGACAAAGAGTGGTGTTGTCGAAGCTGTCGGACCAAAGCCTGTGGATCTAAAGGACATTCTGGATATTGATCCACTCCTGCAAGGCCAGGCTCTTCAGGCAGCCAACAAAAAGAGGAAGAAGCAGCAAAAGAGAGCTGGTGAGACACAGTTTCTTCTTTCTGTCTTTGGTTATTGTACTTTGAATAAATTAAATGCATGATTAGGTGCAACTTGAGTTTTGAGCAGCTTATTTTTAATGTGTTATAAGCCAGACACACTGCTCTGAAACTATGCATCATAACACTACTGCTTTCTTCTTTTTTTTTTTATAGATAAACTCGGCACCAAACTTTCAGATTCTCTCACGGCAGCTTTGAATTTTTCCTTCTCTGACAGCTGATGTGATGAGCATTAAGTCAGGACGCTCAGAGAAGTTCATTCTGATTTCATCTGTGGTCGAAAAAACATCACCGTTTTGTATATTTAAATGATCTTCAATTTAAAGTATGCAAATAAATTATATTTTCTCTGAGGAGAATGACTTCACTAGACCTTTGTGCTTGTATATTGATTTCCTTTCCACTCAAGAATCACCTGCGGGTTTCCTTTTACAGTGTAGCTTTCCCAAATTCATAGTATTGGTTTCTTGGTTCTGAAATTGAAAACAGTTTAAGTAATTTGCTTGTGTTTGTGCACATTTATAAGGCTAGTCCTAACTGTATGATTAGTTAGGAATAAATCTTTTAATAGCTTTGATTTTACATTTTCCTCTGTATGGTTGAAAGATATTCAAGATATTTTGATCTCTCTGCATATGGACAATACAAACATGGTGTATTTACCCACAGACACTTGCCTCCACACCCCGCTGAGTGAAAATACGGGAAAGCTTGTTTTTCTCCAACCCTTCACCCACTCTCCTGTCAGCTCAACTCTGCTCTCTCAGGAAGATCATATCATCAGACAAATGTTGTGGGTTCTTTAAGCATTCATTTTAATTCATTAATCAATGAATATTATTAACAAAACCATCTTGTATTGAATTGGAATATAGAAGTTTAGAATTTGAAAGTAATAATAGCCTCGTGAGCTGAAAAGTCTAAATACACTGTAAACCCTCAGCCACCAGTCATTGGACCAACTTCAAAAATCAAAATCACTCCAAAATTAAGATAATTTCTAATATTTTATGACTGTATAGGTATTTTATGTTCTGATGAGCAGTAAAGAGAGCAACTCTAATCATCTTTTGACAAGTGATGATACTTTTATGAATGTACATCATACATTCATTCATTTTCTTTTCGGCTTAGTCCCTTTATTAATCAGGGGTCGCCACAGCGTAATAAACCACCAACTTATCCAGCATATGTTTTACGCAGCGGATGCTCTTCCAGCTGCAACCAATCTCTGGGAAACATCCACACACACTCATTCACTACAGACAATTTAGCCCACCCAATTCACCTGTACCGCATGTCTTTGGACTGTGGGGAAAACCGGAGCACCTGGAGGAAACCCACGCTATCGCAGGGAGAACATGCTAACTCCACACAGAAACGCCAACTGACCCAGCCGAGGCTCGAACGAGTGCTGTTAGACGACAGCACTACCTACTGCGCCACTACATCACCTGAATGTACATTATCTTACTTTAATATTAATACATTTTTTATAATAAATTTGTAAACCTTGAGCTTTTTAAATTAAATTCAAAATGCAATAAAAGCAGTAATATTTTAAATACATCTATTAATATATTTTAAAATAGATGCTGGTATTTTTGACTGTATTATATATTCCAGAAAACTAAAATGTGTCATTGTTTACACACAAGTAAGCAAGAAAAAAGTTTTCTGCGCTGATAATAGAGTAAAATATAGATGAAGTATAAAATAATGTAAAATTCAGGTTTTAATCTCAGGAATATGTTAAATTTATTTATTATTATTATTACTACTATTATTAAGGTATTGCAATATTACTATTTTGCTGTAATGCAGTCTAGTGAGCAGAAGGTCAAATTTATGTATTCAGTAATTTGTCATATTTCTTTTTACCTTAACTAAAACTGAAATTAATTCATTAAAAAAAGTAAAGACTGAAGTTTGATTTTGAATCACTTTATTACCAAGCGTGTCATAAATAATTATGTAATATTTGAGGTAAATTAATACATTTTAAGTTATTTATATTTTATTTAAATTGTTTATTTAATACAGTTTAATAACTGTTAAATAGTTAACAAAAAACAAGATTGATGGACACATGCTGATGAATGTGATGGGTAGTGTGCGTGTGTGTGACATCCAAAACAAGGAAATCCTCATGCGGGTAATGGCGATTCTTCCAGCAAACTCGCTTTACTTCTAATAACATCAACCAGGTAACTAAGTTTATTTTCACTCCTGGTCTACCCGACTCGAGTGTTTAAGCCTTGTAAAATTCTTAATGGTGTCGTCTGAGTATACCCTGATAAAGTTTAATTGAAGCAACGCTGTTTGACAAGTCAACTTGCTAGCTAGTTAGCCTAGCGCTGACAGCTGGATGCTGTCAAAAACAACCATTCGGGGTTTGTTAAGTGCGCCATAGAGAGTTACAAGCAGATACACTTGCTTGCTAGTATAAATGACTAATACACAAGATGACTTGGTTTAAGTTATCACATTTATTTAACTTTAAATAGTTCAGAGGCTAATCCCAATCCTAATGTTCCGAACCATTACATAACTCTCCCTTTAACGTTATACAGCATATCAAGCTGCACAATCATAATTGAAGTGTTTTGTCCATTTGTGCTTATAGGATACATTCAGATTCTGAAGTTTTGTTCATGTTTGTATTAACATATTCAATATAACTGGTGAACAATGGTATTTCGGCAGCTGTCATTGGTAAATTCTGTACTTCCCCTTGATAGACCTGCAGACTTCAATCATATGACATTAATGGTTCAGATCGTGCGTGTTTAGACAGTGTTTTGGTCAAGCGCTAAATAATTTTTTCCAGTCTATTTAAATGTTGATCATTTGTGTATTTTCATATTGTTGGCATGTCTATATTCAGTAAATTGAGAAATTTATATTTTTTAATTTATAATACACTTTAAGACATCAAAGTTGACCAAATATACATAAAAACGCGCAATTAAGGGATAACTCAAAAACTAATTAAGACCAGTTGAAAATTCTCATTTTTTTTTCTGTTTTACCATATGGGGAATGGGTTTAAGTAAGGGCTTGTGAGCATTTCTTATTAGTTTCAAATATATTTTTTATCTAGATTTTTGCTCAGAATTAAAAAAAAATAAAATAAATGTTTTTCACCTGATATTTATCATAAAAATTTAAAATATGTATAAAGACGTCATGTTTTCTTTTTTTATAAAAAATGCTGTAAATGCAAAATTATTATTATTTTTTTCTTTAAATAGATATGTCAGTAGTTTACAGAATAATATAGTAATTGTTTGAGAAATGTTGTGTATATGTGCATACACGCATATGCTACATTACGTTGTGTCTGTGCTTTATAAAACTTACAGCTATGGAAAGATTTAAGAGTCCATTTAAGCATTTTACATTTTATGTGGTTGAGTACAACAATTATTACTAATAAAAATGACTATTACACAAAATCACAATTATTTTGAATGTGTTATTTCAATTTATTAGTTTACTATTCAGTATGAATTATTATGTAACTTAATACATTGACAAACACAAAATTAAAATATTGTCATTCACATTAGTTATTGCTTAATCAAAATAACAAAAAGATGGTAAGTTTTTGTTCAGGTTTGTATTAATTTAGACGACACAATACCAAGGTTTTCAGATCACAAGAGTTAAGAAATCAATATTTGCTGGAATAACTCTGATTGTAAATCTTCAGCAAGAAGAAATGATCAAACTTTTATAAAATTTGGAAAAAAGCTATTAACATTTTACCCAAACTCTGTGAATCGATCAAAACTTTTTCTCAAGTCATCTTTTATTCTCATAATTTTATCATAGCTATATACTGCATGTATCCAATTCATATTCTTTGTCGATTATTTTGTGGTGTCACAAAATACTTTGATTACAGTTCAATATGACACGTCATTATGGGGATGCAGACAAAAACATGAATAACAGCACTGTGACAAAGTTACAATCTTGAAAGTACAATGTTTACATTTTGCATGTTATTTAGTGATACTGTTTTTATGCTTTACCTATAATTATTAGTTTTTCTTAAGTGTTTTGTATTTAATTAATATTTATTTTAGGAATAAAGTTCTAAGTTACCTCAAGTTCTAAATAAAGTTAGAAATATGATCAATTATCAATGAGTACATTTCTGAGTATATATTTTAAAATCTGGTTAATATATATCTGAAGACAGAATTATTAGCCCCCATTGATTTTTTTTCTTTTTAAAATATTTTCTAAATGATGTTTAACAGAGCAAGGACATTTTTACAGAATGTCTGATAATATATTTTTTTTTTGGAGAAAGTGTTATTTGTTTTATTTTGGCTGGAATAAAAATAATTTTTCATTTTTTAAAAACATTTTAAGGTTATTAAATTTTATTGTTAGCCCTTTTAAGGTGTATTTTTTTTTTTTGATAGTCTACAGAACAAACCATCATTTTACAATAACTTGCCTAATTACCCTAACCTGCCTAGGTAACCTAATTAACCTAGTTAAGCCTCTAAATGTCACTTTAAGCTGTATAGAAATGTATTGAAAAATATCTAGTAAAATTTTATCTACAGTCATCATGGCAAAGATCAAATAAATCAGTTAGAGATGAGTTATTAAAACTGTTATCTTTAGAAATGTGTTAAAAATTTCTTCTATGTTAAACAGAAATTGATGAAAAAATAAACAGAGGGCCTCTTCAACTGTAAATAACAATAATGTATTGTAATTAAGAAATGCTACTTTATCGTGCTATACAGTGCTCAGCATATATGAGTACACCCCTCACAATTCTCTCTTTTAAATAGAATTTAAAATAGAATGCTGAACAATATTATATATACTTTAGATTAGTCAGTACTGAAGTCAAATCTGGAGCTTATTTAACAAAATAACTTACAATAACACTCCAAAGATTTGTACTTAAATTTATATATTTGGTATAAAAAATTAAATAGGAATGTAAAAAAAGAGAAAAAATCAATAGAACTATATATATATGTTTCTTGTGATATATTTTTTAAATGTTATTTTAAATTATTAATTTAATAAATATATCTGTTTATTATAATCTGTTCAAATGCAACAATATTTCCCATATTCACTGATAAAGTAGAAAAAGTTTTCTTTTAGTAAAACATTTGTAAGTTACTTTCACTGAGAGGTAAAAAATATAGATTTTCAAAATGGTGTGTATTAATTTATGCACTGTGTATTGTTATCAGCATATGAACTGACATATTGTCATATGGGATATTACTCCGCTCTCTCTCTCTCTCTCTCTCTCTCTCTCTCTGTCTATATACAGTGCTCATATATCAGTACACCCCACACAGATCTTTTTTTTGAATTCATATTTTTAATAGAAAGCTATACGATATTATATATGTCCATATACATTACATTAGTCAGTGCTGAAGCCAAATCTGGAGCTTCTCTAACAAAATGAGTTACGATAACGGTCCAAAAACTAGGACTTCCAAATTTATCTGTTATAGAAAAATATTAAACAAATAAAAAAAAGAGGAAAAAATCAAGAGAATCAAAAAAAAAATATTTACATTGAAATTTTGTAGGTTGTAATTTCTTTTGCAATATTTTGCTTGAATTAAATTGTGTCTAGAAATCTTTCAATTTCTAAATGTGTTTGGTGACTAAAATATTATTTTAATAAATATCTGTTTAATAAATCTGTTTTGTTTAAATGCACCAAAATACATTGCTTATATTCACAGAGAAATGGATATAAATTTTCAAAATGGGACACTTGACGTCCATTCTACTCCTTGCTTACATTTCTCTTTAAATACAAGTAACACGACTCAGCTATTCTAAATATCATTTTTTTACTCCTCATTGTCCAAAAGGAGAAGTGGTAGTCCCTGTTATTTCCTTTTATACTGCCTGCAGCTCCTGTGGCAGATTGAGCAGCTTTCCTACTTGTTTCCTCCTCTGCAGCTTGTTAATAGAGCGGTGGACGCAGCACAGCAGCATGTCTTCGAGAGTGTTGCTCCGGCAGCAGCTGATGCGAGAGCAGGCGCAGGAGCAGGAGAGGAGGGAGGCGCAGCAGCAGGCATCAGTCGCTCAGCTCCGCCCTGCAGACACCACTCCTGCCATCTCCGTCTCGCTGCCACCCATGGCTGCCCGGCCTCCTCCAGCACAAGTCCCGGTGGAGGTTCTGAAGGTGGGTCTAGACTGGCTAATAAGCACGGCCAGACTGAATTGTTTTGCTATTTCTGTGCAGAATTTTAAAGCAAAATCTTTGTTTTTTTATGGGATTTTGGGAGAATAGTAACTAAAAATGTATATATAATAATGACTTTTTAACTTGAACTATTAAAGGTTTACAAAGCAAATCCAATCAAATCTGCTTGTTTGGTAAACAACATTTAATGTATACTAAAACAGTGCCTCCAAAGTTGGGGTCAAGGGACAATGACAGAGGGTCGCTTGGTGATTTGAAAGTCAAATAAATTTGATTAAACTATTAAAATGACCATATTTTAACCATACCTACAGAAGATAAAATATTAGTTTTTAATAGTAGAAAACAAATAAAAACAATTAAATGAAAAGCCATCTGCCTTTAAAGAATTTTTTTTATAGGATCTGTGTGTTTACGTTAGATTAACAACACAGCAATAGTGTCAGCTACAGCAGATTGATTTTATAGCACCACGTTAAACCTTCTGACACCTTTATGGCACTCAAATACATTAAAAATAAATACAGATCACCTCTGTATATCGAGAATGATCTCTGATTGGCAGTCTCCAAAATTAAACCAAGAATAGACTTGTGCTGAAAACACTGTCCACCAGTCTCATTAAATGAGGTTAATATTAAATTAAACTAAAAATGAAATGGTTGTTAGACTGTTGCACTTTTGTGTGTTGTCAATATGCTCATGTTTATAAAGGTCTATTGTTCTATCAGCAACGTTTGCATATTTATAACCACCTATGAGGAATTTGGGGGGCGTGAGTCACTGGCATTGTTATTGTAAGGGTCGCAGGCTGAAAAGTTTTGTAACCCCTGTGTTAAAACAGAAAATATTACTCTATAAACGGTATTATAAATAAATCACATAAACAATAAAATTACTCAAATTAATATAAAAACTGAATAAATATGTATTTACACACTTTGCATAAGTACAGTAAATGAACACGTTCAATGATAGGCTTAAAAATCTGTGGATTTCTGTGCGCACAGATTTTGTGTGGGCCTACTTATAAACCACCAATTAGTAATAATACTTTTTATATATATTCAAAGTTTGTTCTTCACCACTGGCGTGCTTGGTTGGGACTTGTAGAGCTGTGCATTAATGGATTTGCTCTTCAGTGTTACAATCTACATTGTAAAAGCACTATAGAAATAAACATGAATTGAGTTGAATGGATTTATTCTACTGTGCATATCTGAGCAGCAACCAAACCTCTTGACTGTCGTCAAAATATCTAGTACAACGTTTAAAGCTAGATCTAAAAAGTCTCAGAAAACAAGGTTATGCTTTATTTGCTAACAGTTTATTTGTTGCTCATGCTCTGTGTTCTTACTATAGTAACTAAAATTAATTATGCACAATTACATGCAAAAAAAACCTAACCTGCGTTTTTAACTTAACCATATTGTAAATACATTTAAATAATTAATATCAGTCAGTAGTTAGACAAGTCTAAACATTTCATTCAGACTGAGGTAAAGTAGGCTTCCGGCATCCCTAGATAAAACAAAACTTTTACAGACGTTATAAAGAGGCTTTTTAATTCCCATCACACATGACAAATAGTTTGAATTTTGCACAGAAAGTTTAAACAGATGTTATTGTTGCATTTGCTTTAAACACTATAAACAGGTATACTATTGCACAGAGTGAAATGTGTGTGGCCTTTGCACATGTATTGCTTAATGTTCAATGCATTAGGTTCCTTATATGTAGCAGCACTTATACATTATTTATATAAGATAACATAAATAATTGCAGTACATTTCTAATATAATTCAAAGTTTTATATATAATTTAATAGTATATGTTTTTTTTAAATCGAAATACATACTTTTAAATAGAGGTATGCATTCTTCAGTGACATTAAATTATTTTAGCTTCACAATTTATTTTGAGATTAAATGCAGTGTAAACTCCTAAATGTTTGTTCCTCTTTAATTAAAAGTGGCAACATTTCCTTCTTTATGACTAATGCATGGACAACAGTGCAATATGTAGCATGAAATGTCCCTTATGTCTTTGCATGAGCTCTGATGGAGTGTTTTTATTTGGGTGTAGGTGCAAACCCATCTGGAAAACCCAACTAAATACCACATCCAGCAGGCGCAGAGGCAGCAAGTGAAGGAGTACTTGTCCACCACACTCGGCAATAAAGTTGCCACGCAAACTCTCGGTGTGTCTCCTGTCCCGCATTCAGCCTCGGCTCCAGAAATGGGCCCATCAGCAAGCAGCGCTCCCAACAGCCCCATGGCACATCTTAATCTAGGCTCCAACAAAGAAGAGGTAAAGCACATATACATAAATATACATTGTGTACTGATCATGCCTTTCAGATGCAAAGGCCAAAAACAAGAACTGTGTTCAGGGATGCATGTAACTTCTCAAAGTTGTACCGGGATATGTTTTTTGAACTCCCACTGTTCATAGCACAGCCATCCTATGTGCAGTCATATTAACTATTAAGATGTTAAAATCTTAATTGACACCTTTCTATAAAATGAAAGCTCTGCAGCTTGACAACAGTATTGCACTTGACGATCAACTGATTTAGCACAGTTCTTGAGGACGGGGCATAGAATGTGCACTACGGGAACCCAGATTATCTGAAACAATGCCATTGTAAACTACAACACTGACAGCAACTCCATCTCTGTGCACTGAGAGACCTACTTTATTTTACATTCTTACGTTAAGATACAAGCGTGGGATATTTGCACAAGCCCATGTTTCTATCCAATTGCTTTCATTTCACACCGAAGTTAATTCAATCTGAGGTAATGTGAACTAAATCCAAAGTCTACTGGAACCACAATCTTACAAAACAATTATTGCTAACACTTTAATTTAAGTACTGATTCCCACTATTAACTACTGGCTTGTTACTTGTTGATTATTAAGAAGAATGATCTTATTCTACATTCTTAATCCTAGCTGATTACTAAATCTAGCTACTGTTTTGCTAACTGTTAATAATATGCAGCAAAAAAAAAAAAATATTGCGAGTGTTTGTTAATGTTTTGTAAATAGCGAGAAGTGTACTTTAAAATAAAGTGTGATCATAAACAAAACACATTATTTTACACAGCTAACAACAAGCATTCATTTTAACATGTTTGTAATAAATATCTTATGTTGCAGTAAACTGGGTAACAAAAAACACCTCTTTAGCAGCAAATATGGCGTGAAATTTGTTTATTTCAATTGTGCATGCCCACCTAAGTACTGGTTATGTGCAACCCTGCTTATTTAAGCATCTATACCAAAGGACCATGTTGTTTTGTTTATTATAAGAGTAAATATCAGTTCCATTGTTGTCCACTTTAAAGGCATAGTTTACCTAAAAATGTCAATTTACTCACCCTGAAGTGGTGCCAAACCACCAAACACTTCTGAGTTACTTTATTCCGTTAAACACAAAATAAGATATTTTGAAAAATGTTAGAAACTGGTAACCATTGACTTATATAATAGGAAACACACATAATATGTAAGTCAGTGAGTACCAGGTTTCCAGCATTTTTCAAAATAACTTCTATTGTGTTGAACAGAAAAAAGAAACTCAGGTTTGTGATAAGTGAAGTGTGAGTAAATGATGACAGAATTTTTAGTTTTGTGTGAACTTTCCCTTTAAATGGGCCAGTGCATTGATCGTTATTTTAATTATTCATCAGCTCAAAAAAGTCATTGTTTGTTTTTAAAGTTGTTGACTTCACTACAGAATTAGATCATTAACGTACATGCAAGGATTATTCATGATACAGTTTTTGTCATCAAAACAAAATGGACCACTGATTTTTGTAACTAGCTGACAGTGTACATGCAGCTCACACACGTGCCTTGAATTGTGTTTGTATAACTTGAGTTGTCACCACTCAACAATCAACTGGGACATTTTTCACAATCAGAAACCAAAGGAGTCGAAACGAGAACAACCAACAAACTACTGAAGACAGCAAAACATGCCAACAGATGATTGTGTTGCTAACAAACGCTATCAAATGTTAGGCTCAAAAGTATAGTGCTCCCAAAAAAAAAAGAGATAGAGCCAAGATAAAACACTATTGAAGTCATTAGCAACTCAATGAAAAGTTAAACAGATTTAGGCATAGGGTGACTTAAATATCTATGAAAACTATAAATATCCCTTTAAGTTGTTATCAAAACAGTAATTGTTTATTGCACGTCACTGTCTTGTTGACTCGTGCCAGAACATTCTTACTTTTCACTGTTCAGTTTGTCCTCGCTCTAGTTTTGTCACAATGTACTGCAAAATACCACAGCAGCAGCTTAATTATTACTCCGCTCTGCACTTCTGCCTTAATTCACCCACAAAACACACACTTTTCAGGTGTTACTGTTCACTGTATTCCTAAATATATTTCACACTCTTAAATATCAATACTAATACTCATTCTAAACCTTAATTGTGTCTTCTCAGATGGATGATGTCATTGACGACATCATCAGCCTTGAGTCCAGCTTCAACGATGACATCTTGTCACTGATCGATTCTGGCCTGCAGCTCCCGAACACGGTAAGCTCAGTGATCATCTTTATTATTAAGGAATGTATCCATATAGCATTACGCTGAGGTTCTGAATAAAAGCCTCTTTGAGACAGAGCTGTATTTGTGGTAAACCGCCATGAGCCATTCTGAAAGCTACAGTACAGCATTTCCTGAACGTAAATATACCCCCCACCCCTTTTAAGAGTGAGTGCTAACCAGTGCACTTATGAGGGAGGCCAGCAGTGGGGAAGCATAAACATATAAACATGCACTTCTGACACTTTACTAACACCTGCCAGATAGGAATGATCAGGGAGGGACAAACGGGGCTGTGGACAGTAAGTACAGAGTAAGACACTGGATTGAAACGGCAACTTTTAAAGGGTTTCCCCCATTTTTTTTTTTTTTTTTTTGCTGGTGAAGGAAGTAAAAGGTGAAATGAGGATAATGTTATTGCAGGAGCATGAAAGGAAAGGAAAGGTAAAATCTCATTATTCAATTTAATTACATTAATGAGTGTTGAATATGTGCTGTTTTGAATTTAAATTTTCAATCATTTATTTTCGTTGTGTTACATATTTTATTTAACATTTCTAAGAAAAATTCATATTAGAGTAATTTTCATAATATTAGTACTATATTAAATAATATTTAAATAATGTTTATTAATGGTTTAATATAATTCTTATGCATTTATTTCTCTTTTTTGCTTAATTGGGTTCATCTTACACTGTAAAAAAAAGTTTTAGCTAGTACAACAACAACAACCAAAAATCGGATTTCCTTTTGCTTTTTCTTGTTCACTCAACTCTCTTGTTCACTTAATCAGCTGCACTGATCGAAAGTTATTTGTCAGTAATTAAAAAAAACATTAAGTTGGGTTAACATAAAATTATTAGTTTTCTGGAGAGGTGAACTACTCTGTAACAAAACTTTTTAACTAACCCAACACAAAATTTTATTATTTCCTTTAGTTTTTTTTCTCGTGTACCCAACTTTTGAAAACATCAGTTGCACTGACCTAAAATGTCTGAAGTTGAGTGAACAAAAAACTCTTTTGGAAGTTGGTACTAAAAAATAAAACATTGCCCGAACAAACAAACGTAGTTCAATTTAAAAAACTAAAACTAAAACGGAGACAAAAGTTAACAAAACATTTATTAAACACAGAATTACAAACAGGACAGGAGGCAAAACAACAACGACGGTAAACAAGACAAGAATCAAGACATGGCAGGACAAATAGCGAAAACCGTTTTGTAATGCTTCACAGGGAACAACAAGACTCAGCAAAGAGTCTTTGTGAATGAGGTGCCTTTATAATCCTAGTAATCAGTCCATCATCAGCTTCCAGCTCACCAGAAAATGGTTCCTGCATTTGAATTAGGGTTTGGTTATTTGAGTTTTCATTTATTCATTACAGAATTGTACTGAGATCTTCATGAAAATTAAATATCAAATACATTTGATTTCTCATTTGAGAATGCATTTCGATTCATTATTTGATCATTTGAGCAATTGATTTATCTTTTGTGTAGTTGAAAGTTAGATTTATTATTTGATCTTTTTAGGCATTTGAATTTTCATTTGAATTTGGTTAGGAAAAAACTTCCATATATATACATGACAGTTAAATACAAATTAACAGTCTACATGTGCTAACCATTACTTTTTGTAGAGCAAAATAGGTAAATGTGAGATGAAAATTAACATTAACAGTCTTTCGGGAGCTGAAAATATAAATGCACTGATTTAATTCACCAAACAAGAAATTATTGGGAAAACATAATTATACACTAAATAATTATATAAATATTAAGGTAAAATACCATATAAGCATGCACATGTAACATAAAAATAATAATTATGAAAAAACAAACAGATGGTAAAGCCTATTTAGGATCAATCATGCATGTTTTTTGGGAATGCAAAAAGCTAAAATCTTTCTGGAAAGCAGTACAGGACTTTACAGCCAAAGCTTTGCAAGTTCCATTGGACAACACACCAACACTATACCTCTTTGGTACAGAACTGAACAAGACACTTGATCCTATTTCTATAAAGAGACTCGGCATCATCTCCTATCTAGCAAAAAAATGCATTTTGCTCAACTGGAACCAACAAAAACCTCCAACATTTGAACTCTTTATAAAACTCTTGAATGAAACAATGCCCTTGGAACAATATACATACTACTTAAAAAACAAAGGGGATGCCTTTCAAAAAATATGGATGCCTCTAATGATCCTCTGACTCTATGAACACATCTGATGTATTTTCACAATATGTGTGACCTTAATCACTGCATAACTTTGTGTATTATGTTTTATTTTTATTCTTTTTTGTATTTTGTTGGTATGTTTATTTATTTCTTTATTATTATTATTTTGAAATAATTTAATTATAGATTTTTTTTTCTCTTTGCCTTTTGCTGCTATATTTGTCTACTGATATATTTGTCTTTGCCCTTTTTTGTTTACGTTTGTATGTTCATTAAAACCAATAAAAAAATAAAAAAAAAACAAAAAAAAAAAAAACAAACAGATGGAAAAATAAATAAATAAAAAACTATACAAAAAATAAGTGTCTCCTTAAAAAATTATAAAAGTTCTCCAGACTCTCTGGAGCTGTTTTTACTTTTGTTTTGAAACAAACCAAATTGTTTCCATTCTAAGAGCATGTAAAAAAAAAATAATTAAAAAGCCATTGCCAATAAGAAGGGAGAGCTGTTGTCTTCCAATTCATAAGATCAGGTTGTCCAATCAGTAAGTTGCAAAGGCTACTATCAGCCCATAATTTATTTAATTCAACATATTCTGACAGGATTCCAAACAGTGCTGTTAAGTGGTATTAGGCTATTGATAATGAATTTCTAATGCATATTTTGAATTACTATGCATCATTTTATGTGCATTTTTTGCATCTGTTTTAGAGCTCTATAAAATCTTTATTTTCCCACAAATTCTGTTTAGTTTTGAAAGTAAAATTTTTGAATGTTTTAATTTTATAGACTTTTTTAATGGTTTATTTAAATTTGAGTAATCTAAAAAGCTTGTCTGTTTGTTTTGGAGTCATGCAATTATTTTAAGTTAAACCAAATTTATTTCAACAAGTTGTCATAAAGATGCTTGAGTTTCTGTTTACATTTTACAACAAAGTTTCTTTCACGTTAAATAAAATGTAGTTTAGGTGTACATGTCCTCATAGTGAGGTGGTAGGCACTGAGAAAATCATAAGCTTTACATGTGTTTTAATAGTAAACCGAAAGCCATTCTGTCACACTATATACAGAGCATACAGTCCTTCTGTTGCAGGTTGTTCAGGTGTCCAGAAATCTACATTTGATTTAATTTAGCGTTTTTTTGAAGTCATGTGCGTCAACAGTGCTAAACGTGGTGGTAAAGCAATATTCCTTCATAACATTGTGTTTTAGGCAGCTTTGATCATTATCTGTTTCTAGCAGAGTTTGATGTTTTTCAAAGTGTGTTTCTGTCATAGCTTCCAGGAAATCTTCTGGATGTCTACAACAGTCCTGGTATGACGACTCCAACCATCACCGTCAGCAACTCCTGTCCAGCAGATCTGCCCAACATCAAAAGGGAATATACTGGTAATGGTATTGTGATCGGTGTGTCTTCTATATTCCATTATTTTCTGTCGTGTTGTGTATCTGCTGTACAGTATAGGGTAGGCGGTGGTCATAATGGCTGTTGTGTTTTCCAGAAACAGAGGCCAGAGCTTTCATGAAGGAGAGACAGAAGAAAGATAATCACAATCTCAGTGAGTTCAAAACACACAGACTTCAGTAGCGTATTATTGTCTGTTTGTGTGACTGTGTGATTACATCTGTGCTTTGTTTTGTGAAGTTGAACGGCGGAGAAGATTCAACATAAATGACAGAATAAAGGAGTTAGGGGCTCTAATACCCAAATCCACTGATCCGTAAGTTTCTTTCCTTCAGGCTTTTGTGTTTTGAGAAACAATACAAAACTGACTGTAGCATTGTTTGAGCTTGAAATATTTTGATCCAAAACATCTCTCATGGTGAAAAGTTTCACATTTGTTGTGGAGACATTCTGGAAGTACCAAAACCAATTAATTCAAAGTTTGTGATGCTTTATTGTAATATAAATCTAAATCAGTATATTTATATAAACAACTTTTAAATAATAAAAAAAAGTTTTATTTGTTTTATTTCAGATAGTATAAAAGCAGTTTAAATTTTTTTAACCATTTTAAGGTAAATCATATTAAGCAATTTTTTTATTTACTACAGGATAAACTATTATGTTTAGAAATGTTCTGAAAAAAATCTTTCCGTTAAACGGAAACAGGGGAAGAAAATATACATGGGGGCTAATAATTCAGGAGGACTTTAACTGTACATACAGTATACATACTAACATTTATTTTAAGAACAGTGCATTCAAAAAACTAGTTTGTCAACACATAATATTTACATAAATAATATTTACTTCCTGTTTTGTCACAATGTTAGGGAAATGCGCTGGAACAAGGGAACCATTTTGAAGGCTTCAGTTGATTACATAAGAAAACTCCAGAAAGAGCAGCAGAGGGCCAAAGAGATCGAGATGAGACAGAAGAAACTGGAGCAATCTAACCAGGCCCTTATTCTCCGCATACAGGTACATCACTCTCCAGGATTTTTATTTATCCCACAAGTCCAAAACTAAGACAGACTTGCCTTATAATGTCTGTATCCAAAATGAGCAAAACATTATCCAGTTTATTTTACTCAAATTCATTGCACACGTTACATAAACTCAAATATTTACATTATACAGCCATCCAGAAGCACAGAATATGCACTCACTAAACGGCAAGGTTTATAGTTTAATTTTGACATATTACACTAACATTATTATATGTACATGCTGAATCACTGTGTTGGTTTTGAGTCACAGATGTGAAGTTCAATTTCAAACAGCTTATTTTATTTTCATAATCTGAGGTGAACTATCTGCTGCTGCTTTAAGTAGTATGGCAATAAATGTAATGTAAATTGTCATTCAAAATGACATTTTTAGCATTTAACGATGAATAAAGCACATGAAGTGTACCTAAGGGGATCATTGTCAGTTTTTTGTTGTTCACCTGTAAGAAATAGAAGCCATTTCTGATCAATTTGAGGTGTTGGTTAGAACAAAAACTCCTTTTAATATGGAAAATATTCCTTCTTTTGCGTCCTGTTGCTTTTATATAGAACACGATTAAAATCAAGCTGATTGTGTAGAAGCAAATTTCTGTATAGTTGAATTTAAGCGTTGTTTAAAACTGTAATTTTGTGTATGTTAGAGTTTTCTGTTATGTTGAAACTTGTGATTTAGTTGATGACGGACTAAAAAACTGTATTCACTATGCTGAATTATCCAAAAATAAAATCCTGCAAACGTGTGTTTGAAAAATCTCTCTTATAGTTACATGAACATATGCAGGCGGACACTAAAGATGGAGTTGATGTGAAATTAATGTAAACAAATGAGTCTTCTTAATATTTATCTTTAAATTATAATTAACATTTAGTATGTTTACATGGACACCTATTCTCTGATTTTAATACGATTAAGACAATACTCTGATTAAGAGTATGTAAACAGCAATTTTTGATAACCTTAATCTGACTAAAGTCATAATCGAACTGAACCCAGATCGGACTAAGACATGTGGAGTATGCCGATTTTAGTTGCATTATTGATGTATAGTATAAGTGTGGATAGCCTGGTGGCGCGATGACATTAATCGAATTATGTGCTATAACATCTAAAACAGGATCATGAATGCAACTCATGTAAACACCTTAATCATATTATTGTCTTATTCAGATTAAGGCAGATAATTGATTACTGATGTCCATGTAAACATAGTCATTGTGAGCTGTAGGGTAGTCCTTGTAACTATAAAGTAATGAGTTAGGGGCCATTTACACAACAAAACCTGAACAATTTTTCTGCATTTTTCTTGTTCATTTACACGACAATGGCATTTTGAAAAAGCATAACTTTGTAAAAGGGTTTCAAAAAGTGCACATTTTTCAAAGTGTTACCTTAATCACATCCTTGACAACACCCAATACAAGAATCTTTGAAATCAGTGACGTAGAAATGTGCAGTTGATTTTAAAGGCAGGTGCTAACAGACACACACCAAATTCAACTATATCTTTGTCATGTAAACGCAGCCTTAGAATACCTAAATGTTTTGAGTAATCTAAATTTATCAGATTTGATGGTGTGTAACTGTTTTAGCTACTAATAGACTGCTTATTTTGCCAGTATATAATATATACACTGGCAAGATGACATGAATGTGACCTCCTGTTGTTTGTTGCATGCAGGAACTAGAAATACAAGCACGCCACCATGGCCTTAATGCTACCGTGTCTCCAGGCCTGAACACAGAGGCATCCTTCATCCAAAACCAGCTACTGCAGCCAAATGCGTCTATGCAGGCCGGCGTCGGAGATGGTCAGCCTCAGAGCCACCTCAACATGGATGGAGCAATGGCACAGACTTCACCATCTCCTTTCCTCTCAGTACCTCCATCCGGCTCTCCGGCTGCTGTGGCTGTGAGCGGCCCGCTACATCTGGAGACTTTTAGCTTCACAGAGCTGGACGAACATGCCTCTGATTTGTACCCTGACGTTGGTCTTAGTGACATTCTGATGGATGACGTCAGGGGTTCGGATGTGCTCTTCTCCCCGATGTCGCCCGGAGCCTCCAAAACCAGCAGCCAAGGGAGCAGCGTAAATATGGAGGATGACTTGTGACCCAACTGACCGCTAGATGTATGTTTCAGTGCTTTTTCCTAATGTGGGACGCTGTGAGGTTTTTTTTAAGGGAAAGTTCACCTAAAATTAATATTTTAAGTCCAAAGTACACTTTGTTGCCTTCTTTCTACTAGGATTGTCAATCAAGTTCAATAGCAATCAGTACTGAAATTTTCAAAACCTCCATTACTGCTAATATTTGAGCGTGTTCTTTAACACCCCTGATTGGCTATTGTGTTCACATGCTCAAAAGAAATGACTGTGATTGGCCATGAAGGTCATTGGTTCGCCACTCTTCACCATTGTTCGCCAGGTGGACACTTGGCAGATACATAAACAATGGAACATTTCAAAGTCTGTCGATCAGTTGGTCTTTCTATGAGCTGACATACGAGCGATCCGCTGATGGATCGACTGATCTACGTAGCTTTGAAATGCTCCAGTGTCGATGTATCAGTGTTTACACTTGGTGAACAGTGGTGAATAGATGACTGTTATGGCTGATCACAATCAACAGTGGCTCAAATGTTAGCAGGAAAGGGACGTTTTTGACATTTCAGTATCGGATCGGTAGCGAATTTGATACTTTTGACAAGGCTAGTTTCTACAAAACGGTACAGTTCAGTGCAGTGCAGTGCAACACAGAACAGTTCGGTATGGTTCACCTTGATCAGGCTTGTGTTTCCACTGCCAACAGTGCTTCGTAGGCATGGTTTTGATTGATGTCATTCTAGCTCAAAGAAGAAAGCTATATGGCTTTTTCACATATTGCAACATATTTCAAAGGTAGACACATGGCAAACGTGCACAAATATAGAGAGGATGAAACATGAGTTGCGATTTCCACACATTTTAAATGTGACACAAGCGGCTTCTTAAACAAGAATAGAGCACATACAGCAGAACCTGTTCTTTCTTTTTGACATCTGGCTGTTTGTCACAAGAAAACAACAAGCTATGTTTGAGTATGGTTCATTGCTGCGCACAGTCATTAGCCCCTTTCACACACTGATACCGGTAAATATCTGGAAAATTCCACAACGACTTTAACGCGCTGTTTACCCAGACAAGAATGTTCCAGCATTTTTCTGGAAAAGACGATTTACACATCCATTCCTAAATACTGGTAAATTTTGCCATCATTAACCAGAAATGACCTCTAAACAACTGCGCTTGTATTTGTAAACAACTTTAACGAAACCATATGGAGGAACACTTTCACATCTCGAGATGTACAAAATATGTGTGTGTGCTGGCCCTCACCAGCTGCTTCACATGCACACACGTCAATCAACTCAAGCAGAGCTTGAAGGTAAACTAACAGCGGTTCATCAGAAGCATTTTATAGATAATTTTTTACACAGTTGGGATTTAGAAAGGAACATAGAAATGTTATCTGACTAACATCTAGCAGCTAAATATGCCTGAAAAAATATTCAAAGGCTTGTATCTTCATAAACAGCATGGTGGTGAATGTGTCTGAATGTTCTGATTGGATGGAGTAGATGTCTCACATCAGCATGTTCTAATCGTGAACGCGCTCTTACTGGCAATTTTCTTTCTGTGTTCACACAGAACAGCATTCCAGCAAATTACCAGTAACGTTACAACTTCTCTTTATGGAAAATTTTGAATGAATTTACCAGTATTTTAAAAAGGCCTGTTCACACATTACACCTATTTGGAAAATTGCCGGTTATTTTCCAGAAAGGTCTGTATGTGTGAAAGGGGCTATTGTATTATTACGTTGCCATGATTTAGCTGTGTTTTTAAAAATAACTTTTCTTGTATTGCTGTGTCTTGTTGCATAAACTGGTAATGATTCTCTGTAAACCAATAGCGCTCAGCAGCGAGTCTAGCTCCACCCTTTTGTTACTGTATTGTTATGCAAGGTACCATTGCAAAAGAGTTCCAAAAAGTGGTAGAGTTCACTACTTTTAACATTGGACACAGAAATAACTGTGTACTGTATTGTTCTGTACGGAATCATACTGCTTAGTGGAAACAAGCCATTAGCGCAGTCCAGTGCACACTTTTTATAGTATACATAGTGAACATAGGTGCTTAACACATGCACACTACAAAAACATTACCTGTCCAGCGCTTTTTCTCTCTAAAAATATCCTGAACTCTAACTTAAACCAATAATAAAAAATGTATTTGTTTAAGTTAGAGTTGCAGATATGTTTAATCACACATGCACTCCTCAACATAAGTGTCCGTTGTTTTTGCAGTCTTCAGTAGTTTGTTGCTGATCTGTCTGTTTCTTTTCCAAAAGGGAAACAGTGGACTGGTTCAGTGTTGACTTTTTTTGGTCAAATTTGCATGTGTAAACTGTGCGCGTAGTACTCATGGTTACAAAAAACATACGTACTGTGCTAATGACAGAGATTGTGTCATTGAACATTTTATATGAGGTGAAGTATACTTTGGACTTCGTTATTCCAAATCTTTTTGACTTAATTTTGTGCAACATAAAAGAAGGTATAATGAGAAGTAGAGCTGCATAGTTAATTGCTAAAAATCACAATCTCATGGTTTTATTAAAACTTTGACAAGTAATATGCAAGGGAACATTAATACATATGTTCAATCAGCCACTGGCCCGAAGAAAACAGTTGTTTTTTATAGTTATGAAACTGCTTTCAGTCGTCATTCTATCCAATTCAAAGTATAGTTATTTCTGTTTCAAACATTCAAACGATTACAAGTAAACTAGGATAACATTTAAAAACAAATATATAGATACATACACACATACATATATATATATATATACATGCATACATACATACATATATATATATATATATGTGTGTATATATATATATATATATATATATATATATATATGCACACAAACACACACACACACACAGAATTTAAACTGACAAGACATTCAAATGCATGCATATGTTTGTTTTTTGTAACTGGTTAAATATTTTTGAAACAAAAAGATTGAAACAGGCGATAAAAACTTTGCCCTTTTCTGGAATATGGGAGGGCAGCAGCAGTTTATTTGCATTTAAAGAGATACTTGAATACAGCCTATTGTTTATTACATGGTGCAATAATTAATCTGCCTGGTATTTTGAGCTGAAACTTTATAGACAAATTTTAGGGACATTTATGCATTTATTTCAGCTGTAATGAAGTCCATTGTTTTTGTTACCAACAAAATGTCTTCTTTTATGTTGCACAAATGGATATTTTTTGGTGGACTGCTCCTTTTAAAAACACCCCACATGTTGTTCTCTTTAATTTGAGGCTGTTATAAATTATAGCTATAGTATTATACAGTATCTTAGGCAGTCAGTGATCACAACAATCCCGTATGTTTATCTGAGATATGAAACGCTTCCAAAACGTTTAGCCTTCTTGTAGCTAAAATGTAGGGCGTGTTAGCTTTAAATGACGTGACGCTCATTATTGTTTTTATTTGACTAGCGTGTGGCGTGCGTAGTCACTTTATAGTCACTTACCATACCAAAGGGACGTTTCGTGAGGTGTGTTTAACAGCATGAATTCATTATTCACATTGTTATGATGAAGACGTTCAAGCAATATTTACTGCGTATATCAGAAATGTCTATTTTTTTAACACTCCTTGCTGGCTTTACTTTCAGCCAAATACTTGCCTATTTACTACTAACTAACTTTACTACAGCTAATTTGATTTGTTCGTTTACACCACTTTGTTTTAAACTGAGATCATTTTTAATGTTACATTTTGCTAAAGTGCTCATTCATGATGTTTTGGTAACACTTTACAGTTGGGTAAAAATCTATTTTCAGTCAATTTATTAGCAGTATTTAATGCATCGGGTATCATTACAAAAGTATAATTTACACATTTGAAAACACATAGTAATATATTCAGAATTATAATGAATTTATGAACAAAAACGATTTAACAGTCTTCTGTAGTATGTTTATAATTAATTCTAAAGGAATTTCGCCTAGATGCTCATTGCTAGTTAATTGCTGATTCTTGCATAAACTAATGTGAATGAAAGCTCTGTTACACCTGATATTAAGATTAGTTTTCATAGATTTAATCACAAGTGGACAAAGCTAAACACCAGAGTAAATAGTGAACTCTGATTGGACGTTCACTCCAACTGAGGCCTGCACAAATAGATTGTGCACTGTGAATAAAATCTGTTATGCAAGTGGGGTGCCTGGAAATAACACATAAAATGACGGCCGTTAAATTACAGAAATTTCATTAAATGTAAATTTCTGTAATTTAATATCTGTTATTTTACAGCAAATTAACCCCTGCTGCCGGAAAAAACGTGAAACAGAGTTTTTTTTAACAGTGGGCTGTTTACACTAGGGTTGTCACAACACTGGAATTCGGTACCAATCGATACTGAAATTTTTAAAAACGTCAATTTGCAAAATTTGAATGCTATCAACCTCGTTTCTAAACAGCTCTGATTCGCCATTGTGTTCATGTACTTAACATAAACGACTGTGATTGGCTGTGATGGTCCTCAGTTCACCAAATGTACTGCTGTTTACCGAGTGTAATCACCGATACAGGGAAACTGGAGCATTTTAAAGCCACGATTCATCAGTGGATCGCTTGTATGTCAGCTTATAGACCAGCCAGCTGATCGATGTGAACACAATGTTAAAACATGCTCAACAGCGCTCAAATGTTAGCGAAAAAATGGACGCTTTTAAAATGTCAGTATTGATTCGTCCTGAATTCCAGTATAGTGAAAACCCTACTTCACATGTAATTAGATGGAAGAACATTTTGAGTTTAATCACTTCATTGGCACGTCAAATTCAATACATTTGCGCATCGAATTTATTTCACAATGTATGGGAGGAGGATTTCCTCGAAGGACACCAACAACAGGCGCTACGTCATAATCACGGTCCTACAAAAGCAAGTGTCTGATTGCTTAACTTTGTGCGTATGTCCGAAACAGTTCAGATTCTTCAACTCGAGCGTTTTGCACAAATATTACGTTATGCATGTCAGACGCCCATTTCGCACAATGTCATTTGCCCTTTGATTGTGCTATTCATGCGTAATTCGATGTGTGAAAATTTTGAGTTTACTCGCATCATTGATGCATCAAATTCGCTTCATTTGCGCATCAAATTCATTTTACAATATATGCTGTTGTCCCGTGTCGGCAGTAGGATTTTCCCTCAGGACACCAACTAGAGGCGCTATGTCATACTCATACCCCTGCTAGAGCAAGTTTCTGATTGGTTAATGCAGTGCACATGTCTGCATTTCGCACAAATCATACGTTAAGCATGTTAGACGCCCAAAACGCTTAATTCGTACCATGTTGTTTGCTCGATTTGCGTCATTTGCACAAATAGTGCCTCAGGATGTCCGATTCACCCTAAAATGTAAACCCCTGAAATCTTTATTCGTCTTCAGAACACAATTGAAAAAATTTTAGGCCAAATCTGACAGCGCCCTCATCCTCCACAGACAGCAATGTTCCTGACTTGTTCAGAAAAATACCAAAAAACATCCTCAAAATTCTCATCCTCAAATATTTGTTTTCCTCAGTTTCAGTATAGGGCACCAGAGTATAGTGTCCAGGGTATACGGATCAGTACCAGTAAACATCGATCATGAACATGCGCAATATACTGACACTAAGCAGAAGAAACAGTTGTATAATGTCAATGTTTTTGTTTTATGCGTGCACAAAAGTAATTTTATAGCTTCATAATATTTCAATTAAACCACTAAAGACATAAGATCAGTTTTAAGGATGTTTTTCAGTGTTTTTCTGGACCAATGCTGTTTGGAGGATGAGGGAGCTCTCTGATTTCACCTAAAATATCTATATTTTTGTTCTCAAGAGTAGTTAATAAAATAATTTTCATTTTTAGGGGAACTAACCCTTTAGCACAAGTTGTAAATAAAAGAAAGTGGACAAAAAAGCACCAAAAATGTGTTTCCCACATCCACTTGTGATATGATCAACTGAAATGCATCTTAATACTAGACATTAGCAGGGCTAATTATGTGTAAAGTGTTATAGAATTTTGGGAAGTGTGTAAGGAAACAAGCCACACAAATGTCATGCACAACTAGCTTTTTTTCAGGTGTAAAATATTACAAGCTACCTCTGCCTAAAGTGCTTTTTTTTAAAACCAGTAGATCTAAATCAGCAGTTTATTAGATGCAGCTAAATACACACTTACTGGCAAATATTAATGCATTTACACTCGGAAACGTGACATTAAGTGGTTGCCAGATAAAGCCAAATGAAGTTCGACCTCTGATCGACCTGTGCCTTTAGCATTTTAGGAACAACAGTCATTTGTTTGGTTTGTAAATAGAAAACTGGAATGATTCTCCAAAGTCTCTGTGAGTTCTTCAGCATTACAAATGAATGTATAATATATGAAATTAAACCATTTAAAGGTAAAATAGTAAAAGCATGTAAAATAGATTTCAAAACTTGAATGTTGTGATAGATTATGTCATTTCCCTGTTTTCTTCTTCTCATATGTCAAGGCATAAATATGGGTGTATTTTTTTTTTAATGATTTTATTTTGCAAAGTCATACAGCAATAATAGTACAGTCCTGATATATGAGCGCTGGTGTGTGATTGAGGACATTTTTACACTCATTAAAACTAAATTGCAAGATCTTCTGCTGCTGGTGTGTCTGTGTATGTCATTGCCATATTTACGTTCATTTTGTCTGTAGTCAATTAAAGAGAAGGTTGTGTTCTTGTTTTGTGTTCTGAAAAGTTTTTTTTGAAAAGGAATTTGTATATTTGATGTACAAGTTATTACTTTTGTGGAGACAAATCCAATAGATCTTGCAAATAGATTAGCAAAAGAGCTCCGAAAATGTATTAAATAAACATACAGGATTGTAATTTTTATAATTTTATCATTTAGATTTACCTCCAATTTGAACTAAAAATTAAACATAAATGTGACACCAATACTACAGTTTGATCAGTTTTAATTAACCAAATATACACTGAAAAAAGTGTTGCATGCAGAACTGTTGCAAACAATTTATTTGAGTTGAATTTAAACAAACAAATTAAGTTTAATAATGTCCAACCTAATTTGTTTGTTTAAATTCAGCCCAAATAAATTGTTTACAACCACTTTTTTTTCAGTGTAGTAGGTCTTACAATGACTTGCATCCATTTCACACAGAAAAGCTTTAAAATAATATGAATAAATAATAAACCAGAAGAAATTTTTACCAAGTATATTCTCCTTTTTTAATCAAGTATATTTTCATGTTTTTTCCATTGATTGCCCTATAAAAGGGTAAATATTCTTTAAAAAGATGAACAACATTCAAGTTAATAACACTATAAATTAAAACAAACAAAATAAATAGCTGATTTATTTTAGTCATTGTAAAATAAAACTGTTTAATGTTTATTTTGCTAGCGCACATCGTTACACTTTAGGTGAACAATTAATCTGTGCGACTTCATCCACTGAAACAAAATCTTTGTTTTGGTAATCTTCAATCAAAGTCTGACCATTTGATTCAGCATTTGTGTTGCTCTCTGATGATATTCTTACCCACACCCCGTTTACCGTTAGTTTGTTATGAGGTAAAAATGTGAAAACAGAAAACCCCACTCCCCTACTCAATATTCAGTTTCTGTGTTCACACTGAGCGAAAGTGATTCATTTTTTAATGAGAGCCAGCAGCAATAAACAGTGAGAAGTTTGCGGCACGTCTTTGCTGGTGTGGGCGTCGACTTTATGGTAATTAGCTATGATGCGGTTCTGTGGCAAGCAATCTGAATGGTAAAGTCTAGATTGGTTACGTGGCCGGCCAGAAGTGCGTTTACCACATAAATATAACAGTGTTTTTTTATGACACTGTATAACAATTAATATTTTTACAGTACTGTGACGTTTGGTTTAGGGTTAGGGGGGGGGGGTAGACATTAATAAAATACAGTAAATGGGAAAATTTAACAAATAATATGCTTCCAGCCGCAACCATATCCAATCTCGCAACCACCAATCAAAATGTTCAAGTCCACCGTTTGAGATGATCCCAGCGAACACAGTCCTGTGAACTTAATACCTGTTAATACCACACGTTTTCAAGGGTTGATTGTTGTAGACACTGGGTTTCCTAATATTTACGACAGGACAATTATTATACTGTGTTCCTACCAAATGCAGATGAAGCATCAAGTGTGAGTGAATTAGATGTTAAGTCAATGAAAAGATGTAAATAGACATCCTGTGGTGTGTTTCATGCGAATGAGGTGGCGCGGATGATGCGATTCACTCGAATAAAGCAGCGTCAGTTGATTGCGAATTGCTTGAGTTGGAAAATCTGAACATCAGTGAACATTTGCTCCACATTAACCAATCATGAGCTTGCTCTTGTAAGGGAGTGATTAAGACATAGTGCCTGTTGTTAGTATTGAGGATGAAAATCCTCTTGCCAGTACCGAGCTACAGTTTTTCAAACTGGGCTTGGTTCAGTCTGAAGCACTGCTGAAAGCCTTCATCATTCAGGTATAGTTTCTGGAGGAGTTGATAAACTCACAGAGCTGGGTGCACCTCTGAAAGGATCTAGTGGACTCAGACATAGTACCAAACGAATATATGCTGTTTTTCAGCCTTCCTAAAGCACATAAACACTTTCTTAAAAAAAATCTATGTTAGCCATTTAGCAACGAAGCTAGAGACAGAAGCCATGCCCATGGCATGAATCCGCGTCTGTTCTGAAGTGAATTTCACACACTAATGAAGCGAGTAAACTAAATGTTCATGCGTCTATTTAGCGCGATTTATACATGCGTGCCGTGTCTGGTGTGAACACATCATAGCAACTTGATCTTCCATAGTTAAATTAACTTGATAAAGAGCGTGCAACATTTTCACGCTGTAAAGCATGTTTTTTTTCGGGAATGTATCTGATTTGCTAATATGCTGGAACGGCCCCTCTTAAAAACGAGATCATTGTGGCGAATCACTCTCTGTGCACTCTCGCTGGTGGAGGAGTACTTTGACGCTCTCGCTGCCATCGGTGTGAATACACAATTAGAAGTACATCAACGTACTGAAATAAAAGTCTCAGCCACTTCAAGTTGACACAGACTTTAAATTAAATAATAATAAAGTTTATATTTTACAATTCCAACAATAAAATTTACCCTCAGATTTCTCAAAATAAAAAAGACAGAGAAAAATTTATATTATGTTACATTCTCTTTCAGATGATAAGTAAACAACACTACACGTTTAATTTTTTCCTCTGATGCAGTATTAAAATGCAGCCGTGCAGCATCACAGCCACCATCAACCAGCGCATTTTCGTTTCATGCTTATCAAATCAGCACATTGCATTTGCCACATTCCAGCTTTAATGGGACGATCATGAGACGTCTAGTGAAACAGCAGCTGCGAGAGTTCCATGCCGAGCTCCAGACACTCGCTGGTCTGCAGACACAGGTCGCAGATGGAGCAGTCGAAGGTGTTTTCTCCACAGCTGCAGCCGCACGCCTCAACATATTCAGCACAACTGCAGCACGGACACAAATCTATCAGTTCCTCCAGAGAGGAAGGATCGCAGCAGCACATGCTCGAGCAGAAGGAGGAACATAGAGACGCCACGCAGAACTGACACCCGTCACCCAACGCCAGCACGCAGTCCCAAAATCTGCAGAACAGACACGCCAACAGGACGGACGCGCACAGATCTGGATGTGCGGAAAAAAACAGAAGAAAGCATCAACATGAATACACTGAATAGCTCCTCCATTATTAAAAATGGCTTAACTCTCATTCATAATAACCCAAGAGTTTTCAGATTCGGGTTTGGAACACTTAAGCTACCTGATATAAGAGCAACAAATAATAGCTTGACTTTTAGTTGATCATTTGGAAAAGTGACAGCAGGTAGATTTTTTAGATGAATCATCTGTTGAACTGCATCCCAATCATCCCAAATACTGCAGAAGACCTAATGGAACCAGCATGGAGCCAAGATTCTCACAGATATTAATCAAGTTTGGTGAAGGAAAAATCATGTTTGGGGTTACATTCAGTTTGAGGCCGTGCGAGACAGCCTGATGACAGCATTAACAGCCTGAGGTATCAAAACATTTGTGCTGCTGATTACATTACAAACCACAGAACAGGGCACATTCTTCAGCAGGATAGCGCTCCTTCTCATACTTCAGCCTCCATATCAAAGGGCCTGAAAGCAAAGAAGGTCAAGGTGCTCCAGGATTGGCCCACGCAGTCACCAGACATGAACATTATTGAGCATTCTGGGGTAAGATGAAGGAGGAGGCATTGAAGATGAATCCGAAGAATCTTGATAAACTCTGGGAGTCCTGCAAGAATGTATTCTTTGCCATTCCAGAAGACTTTATTAATAGGTTATTTGAGTCATTGCAGAGATGTATAGATGCAGTCTTCCAAGCTCATGGGAGACAAACACAATATTAATTATTTTTCCACTGCAGCATAACTTTATATTCTATATGTCTAAGCAAAGTCAGACCTCACTGTCGAGTCAATGCCAATGCCAAAATCAAGGCATATCATGATCATATTTTATTTTGGTAAAATAAGCGTAATCTAGAGGCCTTTGCCTTTCATATAAGCCACTTTTGATTCCAAATGTTCAACTAGAAGTAAAGTTATTATTTGTTGTTCCTATATGTGGGTATAAGACTTTTGTCAGCTAGTGTACGGGATTTTGCAGATTTTGTGATTAGTTTAATGAAGGCTTTTTAAAGGGTTAGTTCACCCTCAAAAGTTTCTTGGGCCCTACACAAAGATGGTGTGTGTGGCTTCTTTCTCATTATTCATGCTATTTAAGAATTCTTTAATTGAATAATTTTATTTACTCATCTATTGCTATCTACTGTATTACATAGATAAACCTACAGCCATATTAGAAAGATTTGTATTGTGTTACACTCCATTTATAGCACAGAATAATGTTGGTGTCTAAATTGTGCTATACTGGATAATATACACCCAACGATTATGTTTGCTGTTTGTTCAAACTACTTATTTAAAGTGAGTTAAATGAACACGATCTTTGAGTTTTTGGTGAGACTATTTAAATGTTTTGTTTGATCTATTTAAAATTGTAAAAACTAATAAGTTAACTTAATTCGTTCATGTTGTCCCAACACAAATCGATTGTGTGGAACCCAGCATTTTTGCACTTTACTTAGCATTATATTCTATAAGTAGAGTAGCTCAAGTATCCCTTTAGATATAAAAAAATGATGGCTCATATGATTTTACATTTGAATTTGATGCTCTATACTGCAATAGAACCTTGTGATGGACCCACTGCTGCATTCTCTGTGAAATGTGTTTACATAAATAAATATATATTACATTTGTTCACCTTGAGCAAGATCCAATCTGTCTCTCTAAATACAGTATATACTGTATGCATTAAGCAGAGACATTGTTCCTATTGTCAGAAAACAAAAATAACGGCAGTTACTTCTCCTAAGTGTCAGTATATTGCGCACGTTCATGAGTACTTTGAAGATTTCACCAGATGTCATATTTCATCAAAAATGTCTTAATTTGTGTTCCAAAAGACAAATGAACGTGTCAGGGTGTTGGAATGAGGGTGAGTAATTAATTACATAATTTTCATTTTTGGGTGAACTAACTGTTTAATGGTTTTTGAAGATTAGTTAATGAAGTGTAAACTCCATGTCATTTCTTCAAATTAGGGATTATGCTAGTAAAAGTACTACACTAATCCCACCCACCATGTCTGTTATAGAGAAGACTCTACTGAATCCTGTTAGCAGATTGTACACTTTTATAATGTTCTTTCTGATAAGGAGCAAATACTCAGGAATTTAGGCTGCATTTACACTGTAGATCTTGGTGGCCAACTCCAACTTTCTGATTGTATCTGATTTTTTGACATTGTTTAGGCTACGCTCACACTGCGATGCTCAAATCAGATATTTTTCTCAGATATTTTTTTTTGCATAGCTGTACACAATATTGTTTTAAATGTGGCCGATATCAGATTTCCAGTGTAAACTTATCATAAACTGACCAGTATGTGCAAAAGAACAAACCTTCTAATTATGTTTAATAATAAATAATTACTAATTGTTACTAATGGGCATCTAACAAAGGAACACATAATAAATAATGTAACAAATATTTTTTTATCTCAGTAACTATGTAACTATTCCCTAATAGTTACTCTGTAACTATTCCCTAATGCAAGGGTGCCCAAACTTAGGTCCTGGAGGGTCAGTGTACTACAGATTTTACCTCCAACTTGCCTCAACACACCTGGATTCTTCTAGAAAGTTTAAAAAGAGCTTGAAAAGCTAGCCCAAGTATGTCTGATTAAGATTAAAACTAACTTTTGCAGGACACCGGACCTCCAGAACTGAGTTTGGGCACCTATGACCTAATCAATAAAACTAGTATCTGATTAATCGATAACCAATCAATATGCAACAATATGTATTGTCAAATACAATATAAATTTTCAAAGAAAGAATTTTTACACACAAAAACCATGTTAACGCACATATAATCATAGACAGTCTTAAACTTTTACCCAGCAGACACAGAACGTCAACATGACGTCACATTGACCTTGTTTGGTAATGTAAATTGAGTCAACCTCAATGTCTAAAATCGGACCAACGCTGCATTTTGGTTACTTTCAAATGCAGCCTAAAAACAACAGAATATCAACGTCTAATGATGTTATAGTTTGACGTTGTGTGTGGACGTCTATATGACGTCTATCAGATTTTGGATTGTGGTTGCCATACCTGACGAATAAATGTTAGTATTTGACGTCAGTGTGAGGTTGGTTTAAGATGTTGGCTTAACGTTAGATTTTGGTCACTCTCCAAAACAACCTAAAATCAACAAAATATCAAAGTCATTTTAAATCGTAATTGGACATAAAAACAACATTGTCCTTAGACACTGGCGACCTAAATGTAGCATAATATTAACATCCTTATGATGTTTTGTGTCTGCTGGTACTATTAATACTTTATTTTACCATTTACATTCATTTCCTGATGCTTTAAAGAAAAGGCGGGAAAAGCCTAATTGAATTATAATGGTAATCAACATTACGCCGTGAGTGCTGTCAATTAGGCTGAACTTGAGTGTTGAACCCATAATATTCCTTTAATGGCTGAAACACAGACAAATTATCGATGTGCTAACCGCAAATAATGCATCTCTGCTGACACTGTGGTCCATCTCACAATGGGTATCGTCTTGGTATAAATTTAATGAGCTTTAAAATGCTAATCAGCACCGGAAAAAAAAGTTGTAAAGTTTCCATCTTCATCAATTTAGCAAAACACATACAATAAACCAAGAAAGGCCGAAGCAAAGCTGTGTCCAGTCCTGCTATAGTGAGGATCTCTGCGGCATCTATAATGCATTAGACGTCATAAAAATTGAATTCCCTCATTTCATTGAGTCAAATTGAATTTGAGGTGTTGCTTACCTTCTACAGGGGCTCTCAGGCTCATTCCACTTCTGATGGTGGAGGAGGAACAATGGCTGATTTTGCGATGACGGTGTGTTGTTTTATAAGTGGCCATATTTTTAAGATGGTTTGCAGGCAGTTGAACACAGACAGGAAAGGCATCGCTGATGTTGCTCACAGGAGGGTTTAGATCATCCTGAAATGCCGTTTTCACATCTGCTGGAACTTCTTTTATACGCACGTCTAAAATAAAGAGACTTAGATGATATGAGAATTATTTTGATGATAGCTTTAAGTTAGGTGGTAGCCTAAGTGGACAGTATGTAACTCCAGTTAAGCATCATTTTATCCCGAATATCCTCTGGAAATTTATTTCATTGTATGTGAGAGTGTCTTCTTTCTTTTCGACTTAGTCCCTTTACTAATCTGGGGTCGTCACAGCTGTAACCCATCTCTCGGAAACATCCACACACACTCATTTACACTCATTCACTACAGACAATTTAGCCTACCCAATTCACCTGTACCACATGTCTTTGGACTGTGGAGGAAACCGGAGCACCCGGAAGAAACCCATGCTAATGCAGGGAAAACATTGTGTGAGAGTTTACAAAAGTTAAATGTTTTTGTGTTAAAATACTGAATATTCTAAGTTAAATTGTTGGTAAAGTAATTCCTCTTGACTCAAGCTTGTGTATACTGCACATTTGTCCACTGATCTTTAAAGTAGCCAAAAGATCGCTGTTATTTTAATGTTGGCTGGAAGCTAAAAAGGAGTGGCACGATGACTTAGTGGTTAGCACTGTCACCTCACCCCAAGAAGGTCGCTGGTTCAAATCCTGGCTGGGCCAGTTGGCATTTGTATGTATAAAATAATTAATAATAATAAATAATTACTGATTGTTACTAATAAGTATCTAACAAATTAATATATACTTATTAATGTAATAAAGATTTTTTTTCTAACAACACACTAAAATGATAATTGCATATTTTGTTTGGAAATAAAAATAGGGTTGATGTTAGAACAGAATCCAACATCAGGCTGGCGTCAATGTCCAATGTTGGACAGTTGTGTTTAGGCTACTTTCCAACAAACCTAAAACAACTAAATATTAATGACTAATGATATTACAGCTTAACATTATGTGGACGTTACTGATTGGAATTTCTGTGTGGAGTTTGCATGTTTTTTTTTGTTTTTTTGCTTGATTTATTTATAAAGCACATTTAAAAACACCAAATGTTGACCAAAGTGCTAATCAAAACAACCAACATACAAAATCTATTCTTGTATATGTAAATAAAATAAAATAATTACAATCAAATGCAAGACCATCCATTCCTTTATTTTCTTTTCGGCTTAGTCCCTTTATTAATCTGGGGTCGCCACAGTAGAATGAACCACCAACTTATCCAGCATATGTTTAACGCAGCGGATGCCCTTCCAGCTGCAACCCATCACAGTTAAAACATACACACACACTCGTTCACACAAATACACTACAGACAATTTGGCCTACCCAAACCGGAGCACCCGGAGCTAACCCACACGAACACAGGGAGAATGTGCAAACTCCTCACAGAAATGCCAACTGACTCAGCCAAGGCTTGAACCAGTGACCTTCTTTCTTGTTGCCATGCAAGAGACAACTGATGATATTTTAAATGAGACTAAAAGCACCAAGGGAAGAGCATGACCTGATATACAAAGGCAACTCATTCCACAGAAGATTCTCCTTTTGAATTTAATCGACACTTGGGAACAACTAGCTGAAACTGTTGTGCCGAGACCTAGATGAAGTATGCCAGTGAAGATGCTCGCCAATGTCAGTAGGTGCCATTCAAAACTTTAAAAACAAACAACAGTAACGAACTGGATCCTAAATTGCACTGGGAGCCAGTGAAGGGATGATAAAATTGGTGAAATGCTAGCTAGTTTTTTAGTCCCAGTTAAAATCCTAGCAGCTGCATTTTGGACCAGTTGCAGAGTACAATTGAAGCATGAGAAACTTCTGAATACAGAGAATTGCAATAGTCCAATGATGGTTTCCACATCCTTAGAAAACCAAAAAAAAAACTTCAACTTAACAATGTTTCTAAATTAATAGAAACCACTTCTGACTACAGAATTAATTTCCTGCTCAAACTTTAACTCAGTGTTAAATATAACTCCAAGGCTCTTTGCGTGATTGTGGACCTCCCCGTGTTCGTGTGGGTTTCCTCCGAGTGCTCTGGTTTCTCCAACAGTCTAAAGACATTCAATATAGGTGAACTGAATAAACTAAATTGGAGTATGTGTGAAATGTGTGAATGTGTATAGGTGTTTCCCAGTACTGTGTTGTAGCTGGAAGGGCATTGGCTGGAATAGTTGGCAGTTCATTCCACTGTGTCAATCCCTGATAAAAAAGAAACTAAGCTGAAGGAAAATGAACGAATGAATGGAAGCTAAACATCTAGTTGTGTGTTCTTGGAAAAAAGACAGTCCTGGTGTATCTCAGTGAATAAAGGGGATGACCTCTTGCCTTGCCCTAGGAAAGATTACCAATTTGGGAGAGTCTAAATGATGACTCTGTTGTTGTATTTGTTTTTTCTTTCTTTCAAAGTGTATTAGGCTATTCTGAGTTTATATATTATTTTTTTGCTGAAGTGAAAATTTAAAACCTTTGTCAATTTGTATGAGAATGTTTAAACTAAAATTGATGTTCAAAAAAAGTATAGTGGTATCTTGAAGGATATTTACCAAATGCGAGTGGTTTGGATTTGCTGAGTGGAGAAATAAGGCATGAGTTTTCCCTCCCATCAGAGAGGTCATCTGTTGGTGAGAGTTTACTGTCCTTTAGACACGTTCTAGCAGATTCCATTTCTTTGTTGTCAGATGACTCTATGGAATAAATAAAGCACATTATTAGGTGTTTGCTCCTCTACACTTCAGTTTTTTTTTTAATTTTTTACTTACAAATCAGAAAAAAAAACTGAATTATGATATATGAATGAACAATGTAAAGAGAAAAATCCTCAAAATTGTGACACATAAACAAAAGAATTCTTCTGACTTTTTCTGACTCCTATTTTTCTCAATTGTGATTTCTTGTGATAGTGAGTTCCTGCATTTCTGACTTTATACTTTTTTTAAAATAAACTTGCAATTTTTTAGCTTATAAGTTGAAACGGCAACATACAAAGTCAGAAAAATATTTGGAAGAAAGCCTGACACATTAACTCTATAAAAAAAGCTACAATTATGTGAAACAAATAAAAATGATAAAGAAAAAAAATGAAAATTGCAAGAAATAAAGTTGCAGACGTAATAAAAAAGTCAGTTTTGTGTCATTTTTGTTTATAATTCTGAGTTTATATCTCAGTATATATACATTTTTATGCAAAAGATTGGGCACCCCTGATCATTTTCATTATTGCAAGCTATAGCCTGCTGGCATTTCAAATCAGTAAATTAATTTGGATATATTTTATACTGTAGGGAAAAAGCAGCATTTCAGTTCTGACATAACATTTATTTCATCAACAGATTCGATGCAATTTGAGTCCAAACAAAAACAGGAAGATGCAAAAATTTGGGCACCATAACAGAATATTGACATTCATCTTTTGTACAGCCACTTTTTGCTGAAATAACAGCCTGTAAATGCTTTTTAAAGCCAAGGATAAGTCCCTGAATTCTTTCTGAAGGCATTTTGGACCATTCCTCCTTGCAAAATTCCTCCAGTTTAGTAAGGTTTGATGGGTGCCGAGAGTAAACAAAATGATTGAGGCTTGTCCAGATGACCCTTTGCATACCTCAAATGACTCTTCTTGTTGGCAGAAAGCAGAAAAGTTTTTTTTTTTGCATAACTGTCCATTGAGCTGTTCCTTGTAAGAGTGCGCTGAACTGTGGAATGATGTATGATGACATTCAATGACAACAATGAAAATCAGCAGCAAGATGTTCTTGGAGCTCTGGAGATGGTCTGTGGTTTGTCTGTGACCATTCTAACCATTCTTCGCCTTCGCCTTTCAGATTTTTTTCTTGGCCAACCACATTTTTATTTCTCAAGACCTGTTCCTTAGGCCTTCCATTTTCTTACTATATTTCTGACTGTGGAGATTCTAAACTTTTGTGAAAGCTTTTTTCATCCTTCTTGAATGTTGACGAATTATCGTTTTTAGGTCATTAAGAAGTTCTTTTGAGGCTCCCATGTTGCTACTTTTAGGTTCACAATAAGAGGCACAACTAACAATCAGCTACGTTAAATATCCCTTTTTATGATTGTTGCACCTGTGTCTGGATTGTTCAGGTTCATTGAGTCACTCAAATCAATTTTGTGTTGTAATCAATCATCATTAAGTGACTGCAAGTTTTGAAATCCACATAAAAGAGAGGGTGCCCAAACTTTTTCATAGCCTATTTTTAGTTTACATTTAATTCACACATCTCAGCGCGGCTACACTCTGGATTTCTGTCTGAAAAAAACATGACAATATCTAGCTTTCTCTAGAAACTCAATGGCATTTCACTGTAATCTCCTCTTATAGAGAAAGAGCACATAACTATACAGCCACACAATTGATATATAATATTTTTGCTTGTTATCTGCTTGTTCAAACAACTTATTTCAAATGAGCTGAATCAATAAAATTGAGGTTTTTGGGGGACAACACACTTTTTTTGTTCAATGTACTTAAATTTGTAAAAAAAAAAACATAAAGTAAACTTAATTAAGTTATGTTGAGACAGCATGAAGGAATTGTGTGGAATTTTTTACAAATTTTCACAATTATGACTATTTCTAACAAACCTATAACATAGTAAAAAAATAAACGTAAAAAATAAAAAAATTGGAAAGAATGAAACAAAAAAGAAAGCTCGTAATTTTAATTTAGTTTCTGTTTTTAGTTTTTGTTAGAATGTATGAACAGATAATTCACAGCTCTGAGAAAAAGGTTGGAGCTCCAATAAACTCTCAATTTTGTGTGTTTGAATTTAAATGTGAGTTTTTCTATTTGAATTGTGAGATGTAAATCCACAATATTTGGAAAAAAGCTCATAATTGTGTGATTAAAAAGTCACAAGTGAACACAAACTGCTCACCAGAGTGCTGAAAAGTGGATATAGCAAGAGCTGAATTAATTTGTGCTTCATCTTCACGAAAGCTAGATTCTGATCCAGTCAGTGAGCGGCCACCATGTTCATCCTCATGATCACAGTCCATCTTCACAAAGTTCTCTCAGAGAATTCACTGCTACAACAACAAGTGTAAAGATGCAGAGTGAAAATGCAGGAGCAGTTCAACTCCAAACCATAGCATTAAATATTCAAGCACAGGAAGCAAAGTAGATGTGCTATAGTCTGTGACATATATTAAATACTAATGGTAAAATACTGTGGTGAGAGAATGCTAATTGATCTCTTGACATATTGATGCATCATGCAACTAACAGTAAATAATGTCAACACCACGTCAGATTTTTAGTTCTGTGACTAATTTGCAACATTTACTGATTGATGTGATAATTATGGAGTTGTGGATTTGATATGCTGTAATAATTTACAGTGCATGCAAAAAACACAAAGCCTAGCATAAAAAGTACTGATGGAGCAAAAAGTGCCAGAGTCATTAATCTATTATTAATCTCAATCCATTTGGCAAACATATTGTGTGACAGAGATAAGAGGCATCTTAGATGTAAAGAGGGCAATAAATTTCAGCAACCTATTAGGCCAATGTTTGCTTACCTCGAGTCAAAATAATGAAAAACTTCTATGAGGATTTCAAATTCTTGTTTTGAAGGGGATAAAATCCTAAAACTGTTCAATTGTGCAGAATAGTTTAGTTTAACCCTGAAATTAAAGACATCAAAACAAATGTATAATATTATTATCATCACAAAGAATCCAGTATTACAAAGTATTATAGCCTCCTTAATTTCTCAAACTTCACCAAATATAATTAGGAAGATTTATCGTAAAATCAACAACAAAAAAACACTGATGTTAGGCTACTGATTATCATCATCATCATCTTTCGGCAAAGTATACAGATACCAGCAAGATAACAGCAATGTAATTTTTATAATCTTTACAATTTATTTCTCGAAGTTATTTGAAGAAAAGCACTATCGTTAATCGTTTAAGTTTATAAAAATTCACTAACCTTCATCACCACATTCATCTCATCGCTCGTCAGATGGCAGATTGATTCTCTGCTCTTTAGGGGCCGTTGCCTCATCATTTGTTAGCATGCTCATAGTGTTGATAGTGCGACTGTGCACCACACCCCCTACCAATAAATAAATCAATTAATAACTGCCACATATTAAAGTAACAATTATTTTAAAAGTACATAAAGCATCATAATTGTCAATAATAATAAAAATAATAATAACAAAAATGATAATAATAATAGCTATTATTATTATAGCGTAGATAATAAGGATAATTATTATTGTTGATATTTTATTGTATTAAAAATAAAAGTTAATATTAAAATAAAAAAAAAAAACATAATCATCAAGTCTTTCACTGATCACTGTTACAGATTTTCCTGATGGGGACTTTTATTATGACAATTAGCCTTCTGCGCACATACACAGCCGAAACGACGTTGTTAGCTGTCTGCCCACGGTCAGAATATTTCTGTTTATAATACCGCTTCATTTCTATTTTTATGTGGGCATTTATTTCAGTTATTATAGTCGCAGCATTCACTATGCAGTGATATATTATATGAATTAATTGATAGTTCATCCGTTTGATCGGATCCTTTTGAAGGCGGGGAGCAGCGATGGTAAGTCTGCTAACTTAGCTAACTTAACGTTATTATTGTTTGATAGCATATTAGCTTTTCCACTTGAGTACTTAAAATATAACACATTAAGTGCTCCATAGTCAGTTATTGGAATTAAACAATGAGTATTTTCACTAATAATTATTTTACTAATACTTATTTAGATTTTTATGTAGTACTATATCGATTATCCAATGGTTGTCAAAAGCTATCATGCTAATATATAATGTCATGTTGAAGTATTATTTTAATTTAATTAAGATGTTTAAAATGAGTATGTCTTTTCCTTACGGTTATGTCGCCTTTATAATGAGGAAAATAGTGTGATATCGACCATGTTTAATTTGTAATGTTCTCTTTAATGTTAGCTAAGTGGTTTGTTGTTATAATACTCTATTCTCTTTACAGGACAGCGAAATGTCTGATATGGACCAGACTCCAGGTCTGGACAACAGTATGGAAAAAGGAGAAAATGCTCCTCTTTACTGCATTTGTCGAAAATCAGACATCAACTGCTTCATGATGTGAGACGAATATATTTAACCATGTCTTTTCAAAATACTATATATGTGTTCAAATAGAGAGCATAATGTGTCTTAAATTTTTTCTCCTCAGTGGTTGTGACAACTGCAATGAGTGGTTTCACGGTCACTGTATTAATGTGACGGAGAAGATGGCCAAAGCTATAAGAGAGTGGTACTGTCAACAGTGTCGGGGTCAGTGACTCAAGACTTTTTTGTTAAATGAATGTTGTTGGCTTTACAATAATTAAATATGTACTTAACAATATTTTATATATAATATATATTTTCAGCAAGGGATCCATCACTTTCAATACGATATCGAAAGAAGAACCGCGATAAAGATGTTGAGCCCGAGAGGGTTGAGAAACGATCCAGCACTCCAGAATACAAGATTGATAAGCGACGTGGGTCTAAAGTAAGTGCTTGTTCGTTTTACCACATTAGTTAGCTGACTTCAGTTAGATTATGGGTTATTAATGAAGGGAAATACGTTCACCAATTTTATAAACACTTTAAAAAATGGAATAAGAATAAATCTGATAACTGTTTTGTGATTTTATTAAAACATTTAATTTTAGTTTACCTTGAATAGATTTTAATTAAATCCTTTTGGTCATGAATGGGTATGACTTTGTGGTTTGAATGACAGTTAGAAAGCATAACAATTTTAAAAGGATAATTAATTAATTATCATTCATGATTTTATCATCAAACCATTTTTGCTTTAAATATTCCTGAGGGTGTGTTTTACAATAAAAACTGACATTAGTGTGTGTTTTCTGTAAACTCAGTCAGAATACTTATTGAAAGTGAATATTGATATTGATGTTTGATAGACAGTGAAGATAGTGATTGTTTATGCTTAAACAAATGAAAATAGGACACCTTCTATATATAGGAAAAATACATATTATGCTTTATTAAAGGCATAAACAAAGAACACTGATCACACACTTACCTAATCTGTAAAGACAGGACAATCAACACAAACTGGAGCCATGTCTTTTTTTTTAAAAAAAAGAAGACGAGTGGCGAATCTGGAATTCAACATTTGCAGGTTGTAAAAGCTCTTGGCTCAAAAATGTTCCTTACAAACAAATCTTTTGTTGCATGTTAACAGACCACTGTAATCCACACATGTGGGTCCACACACGAGCTGTGCTCTCATTGTGGGGAAATAAAAACAAAACCTTCATTGCATCACATTTATAAATGCAACACTGGCGACCTTTGCCTCTGAACAATTCTTCAACTACTTGTTTGAATTACAGTTGGCAACCCAACATGGCATCTCTCTCAACACTGTTAACAAGTAAAAAGAGTCTTCGTAGCTATATTATGCATATTAATGAAGTTGCATCTCATTCACAATAGATTGGTTCAAACCAAGTTCTTCTCATAAATTAATGAACAGATGTGTTGAAAACTCAATTACGTCTTTGTACTTTCTAGTCTAGACAGCCGATCTCCACGCTAGAATTTACACAATGATCTCATCGCCATGACTTTGCTTCAAAAATTATTTTTAAACCCGAAGTGCAAATTTGCTCTAAACAATGCAAAACAACCAATTTTCACTTGTTAGTGAAATATATGTGTCCTAATAGTGTTTTTAGCAACGTGGCACATACACACACACACACACACACACACACACATATATGTGTGTGTGTGTGTGTGTGTGTGTGTGTGTGTATGACTGTCAACCTGTCAACATCTCAGAATATGTGTTTTGGAGTTTCATGACCTTTCTAACATCTATAATGTTGTAATATTTAATTATTCAATCTAATAGAAGCAACATTGTCCTTTAACATTGTGTTTCAGGTGAAGCGCTCTGCCCGTATGTGTGGTGAATGTGAACCCTGCACCAGGACAGAGGACTGTGGTCATTGCGACTTCTGTAAAGACATGAAGAAATTTGGAGGCCCAAACAAGATTCGTCAGAAGTGTCGTCTGAGGCAGTGTGTTGTTCGTGCTCGGGTGAGCAGCTTTATATTCAGCTTGTTTGTTTATTGTTTAGCTTTAGACTTGAAGTAAATTTTTCTTCATATTGTTTTTTCAGAAAATGCTGCGTGTTCGGGATGAGGAGTTTTCGCTGCGTGAGAGGAAAGACAATATAATGCACAGGAATAGACGATACTCAGATGATTATGATGAGAACGATATGGATCTATATGAGCACTACAAGGACAGAAATGCGGTAACTACTAATTGCTGCAGTTCAACCACAACCACTTAGTATATACATTCATTTGAATTCTTGTCAAGTTATAAGAGGTACAAAAGTACATTTGCTTATTAGGGATGATGAGTTGGGTCTCAGCACTTTAAAATGGATCTGCTTTTTTATTTTTATATATATTAATGTAGTCATGGGGCAGTGAGGATGATGATGGCCAACTATACAGTCCTGTTCCACGGAAGAAAGCTATAAAAGTCAAGCACGTCAAGAGGAGAGACAAAAAATTTGACAAGAAGGTACAAAGGGGAGCAGAGTATTTAATGCATATTTGATTGCATTACAGAACTGATCTTCATTTGATCGTGTTTATCATTCACAGAAAGAGTCCCGTCGCCACAAGCAGAAGCAGAAGCACCGTGATCGTTTGCGACACAGTGATAGGACAGACGGCAGACACGGAGGAGACACGCAACAGTGCCTGGGGCCAAACTGCATTGAGCCGGCACGGCCAAACTCAAAATACTGCTCTGAGGACTGTGGCATGAAGCTGGCCGCCAAGTAGGTTATTTCATTAAGTGCAGCCGACCAGTGTGGAACACAAGGTTATACCAATACCAGATTAATGTGCTTTAAAGTGCCCCTAATGTACTGTTTTAAAAAAGTTCATCAATTTTGCTTTGGAGGTCTCTTACAATTAGGTTTATGTTCATCTGAGA